GTGTTTGTAATGGGAGGAAACAGGGACGTATGTGGCGGCTGCAGTGACACTCGTAGTGCTTTGTCTTTGTAGCGTCACTATCATAGCACTGAGCGTGCTCAGAGCTGTGCCTACATTTACATACATTCCTAAGTGCAAGTCGATAAACTCCATACTTTGCGTAGGAATGTTCATACGAACTCATTACACACATCTGGGCGACGTCCTGATGATACATGAGGCCCCTGGCGTGGATGTCAACATGTTGCCATGGTAACCAGTTCCTCCTTCACATCTACCAAAGAAGAAGTAAGACGAGGAAGTGGGAGGAAGACCCTCAAACACACACAATCCCTGTGTGTGTGTGTGTNTCAGATGGAGAAAACCTGTATTCTCTACATGATGTCAGTAAATGTACCATAGACCAGCTGTAGTACCTGGTTGTTCCACCAGGTGGAGCGTCTTACTGTTTAATACTGTAGAGCAGTGGTGTTCAATTAAAAGTCACGGGGGTCCAGTTATAAAAATTTCCTCCAAGTAAAAGGTCCAAACCGAAGTCCAGGTTGTGTCTTCTAGCCTTCCCCTATGGCCACATGTTCATGGTTTCAACAAAACGTATTGTCAGTTTTCAATGCAGGATGTGTTTAATTGAATACACAGCTAGCTCTTTTACCAGATATAATAGTCGTCCCAGGCAAATAAATTGAAGGCCTTTATTTAAGATTAGAGAAAATACAAACCTCAGAATAAAATACATTTTAAAAAGTGCAAACAGAGCCGAATGACCCTTTAATCTCTTAAATAAAAGAGTTCCTAGCCTAAAGATCTGGAGGCCTCCACTTCAAGTAAACAAGTCAACATCCTCAGAAAACAGTAAATCAAAGGTTTGGTTGCACGTTCCTGGGCTGTAAATGATGAGTCAGTAGATCTGTCATACTGGGCCTACAGCTCAGTTATTCTGCCCTCAGCTCGGACTTCAGGGAGAACTTTGCTCAACGAGCTGTGCTTTGTGTCTTAGCGGCGCTTCACGCTGCTGCTTTTAGTTAATGCCACGTTTCCAGAGCATTTGAGGCCTGATGGTAGAATGAACATGAACTTCTCCGTCCACTCGTCTTAAAGCAGCGGTGTTCCTCATCAGCCTTCCTTCTGCTGGACCAAGCCATGATGTCATCACTTCCTCTCTGCTCTGCTGTAGAGGCAGAGTGGCAGCGAGCTGTGGCGGTGCGCTGGCCGTGCAGGGGAACCCAACGATCTGATTTGCTGGACTGAGTGGAGCTATTACCGTATTACCTGGAGTAGCAGTGCCTGCTGCCTGTAGCTGCGACCGTCGGAAAAAATGCTCCATGAACATCTATTCTAATGAATTGAAGAGATTGGTCACGGGTCCGGACAGAACCATCACTCAGTTCGGATCCGGACTGAGGTCCACCATTTGGTGACGCCTGCTGTAGCGACCAGAGGAGGCGTCACTCAGCCTACAGTTCATGGTGGCAGCAGAGAGCATTGTGGGAGTTCAGCAGCAACGGGACCATGACAGAGACTTTGAGGAGGTTCATGACCTCCAACCAGAGCTGATAAGTTTGAGACAAACTAGGCCCGACCGGAACAGAGTTCCTGAATCACAGTAACAGATGGAACAAACGTGTCGTATTATTTGAAATTCCATCCAGGTTGTACATTTTTTTCAGAAAACTGCATTCAGTTTCAATTTACATTTATGGAGTCACAACCTCTTTCAGTGGCCAGGTTGAGTCTCTGAGGTTCACATGTGACTGTCGACATATCTGACCTCATGTTCTCATGATCCTTCAGTGTGTCCACAGAGACCTAGCAGCGAGGAACGTCCTGGTCTGTGAGGGGAAGCTGGTGAAGATCTGTGACTTTGGTTTGGCCAGGGACCTGCTGAAGGACCAGAACTACATTGCCAGAGGAACTGTCAGTTCAGCTCAAATTAACTTTATTGAGTCTCTGCATCTGTCACATGACCAGATCACATGTTAATCTGTGGTTTGTTCTCAGAGCTTCCTGCCACTGAAGTGGATGTCTCCAGAGAGCATCTTTCAGAACATCTACAGCTCCCAGAGTGACGTCTGGTCCTACGGAGTCTTACTGTGGGAGATCCTCTCTCTGGGTAAACCAGTCTGACCAGTATCCATCTACGAGCACTAGCCTCGGGCGCTGATAGCTCAGCAGGTTGGGCGGACGACCCATGAATAGGGGCTGTGGTCCCCCACCCAGAGGTCATGGGTTCGAGTCCGACCCATGACCGTTTACTGCCGGTCCTTCCCTCACGTCTCCCCATATTTCCTGTCTCTCTCTCCACTTTCAACTATAATAAAGCCTAAAAAAAAGCCCAAACAAAAAATTAAAGCCCACCAGTCTGACCAGTTTGATCTGTATATCTGTCCCTCCAGGCTGCAGTCCATACCCTGACCTGCCAATGACACAGGAGTTTTACTCTGCTCTGAGGAGAGGATACCGAATGAACCGACCTGAACACGCATCTCCTGACATGTATGACACGCTAAGACACATTACCACGATTGATGCTAGCACATACAGCAACAGTTGTGTCCAGGTGTTATAGGTGTGTCCTGATATTACAGGTGTTACAGGTGTGTCCTGATATTACAGGTGTTACAGGTGTGTCCTGATATTACAGGTGTTACAAGTGTGTCTGGATATTACAGGTGTGTCCAGGTGTGTCCAGGTGTTATAGGTGTGTCCTGATATTACAGGTGTGTCCAGGTGTTGCAGGTGTTAAAGGTGTTACAGCTGTGTCCAGGTGTGAAGTTGCTGTGTATCTCTGTTCTTGTGTGCAGGTATGACCTGATGAGGCGCTGCTGGGAGGAACAGCCTCAGGCCAGGCCTACTTTCTCCTCATTGGTTGTCACCATGGGCAACATGTTGAGTGACAACTACAAACAGGTACAAATGTCAGAGTTGTTTTTCCCTCAGATACACTTTGAACTGTGACTGTAAACGTGTTGTCGTTGTGTTGTTGTGTCAGCGTTACCTCCAGCTCAAGGAAGACTTCCTGAAAGGAGAAAATCCAGCAGTGGTTCGTTCCAGAAGGAGTTCATCCAGAACTGCTGAGGATCAGACGGACAGAGAAACAGACACACACGGTATCACAACAACAACACAACCACGACACACATAACAAGACAACAACACAAGCATGTCACTTACAGTTACACAAAAACAAAAGTGCACATGGTAACACAACCAACATGTCTCAAAAGTTCAGCATTTTATGGACCTGATCACTGTATTTGGTTGCTGTCAAAGAAGCTAAGCTGCCCTGTTTCTGATCACAGAAAGCCCCGCCCCCCAGGTGAACATTCACCTGTCGGAGGCGGACATGGTAGAGGCAGGCCCCTCCCCCAGCACTTACATCATCCCCATCACTGATGTCACCATTGAAAGCCACGGCGCTGTGCTGGACGCAGTCAGGTACGAGGGCGCGCTGCAGGTTAGCGTCTGGTTAATCCGCTTGCTGTTACCGTGACGATGATGATGCTGTGGTTTCTCTGCAGCCCTCAGCTCTCAGACTCTGCTGCCATCTGGGACTCTCAGGAGTCATCGTGTGATGTCATACAGGAAGCAGCGTCCTCCTGTGATGTCACACAGGAAGTGGCGTCATCGTGTGATGTCACACAGGAAGCAGCGTCCTCCTGTGATGTCACACAGGNGGAAGCAGCGTCCTCCTGTGATGTCACACAGGAAGTGGCGTCATCGTGTGATGTCACACAGGAAGCAGCGTCCTCCTGTGATGTCACACAGGAAGCGGCGTCATCGTGCGATGTCATACAGGAAGCAGCGTCCTGCAGACTTGAGGAAGAGGAGGAGAGCAGCCTGTGAAGTGTCACCTGACAGGAAGCCACCATGTTTAATTAACCCAACGCTGCCCTCAGCTGTGACTGTCAGGCACCTGAGTGTGCAGCAGGTCTCATAACTGCCATGTGCCTCTGTGTACTCTACTTAGTTCTGAGTGTATATGTGCTCTGTTTACCCAAACTGCTTTTTACTTAAACCGCTGACTCGTGTCAGAACTGAAGCTCGTTATTAAAGTATATTCCTGAACCTGATGCACCTTCTCTCAATCTGTTTTACATCACAGCAGCCTGAACTACAAATACATCAGATAATTACTCAGGAGGAACACTTCACATTTAAAAAACAAAACCAGCACTTGACCTGTTGACCCAACGTTTAGTTTTTAACTGATTGAAATAATAACTTTCATTGATTTACTTTTCATGTTTTTGTATTTTTCTGAACTTGGAATGTTTACTGACTTTCATTCGGGATCCAAACCATGAAAACCTGCAGCGACCAATCCAGCCAATAAATTCATCAACTATTCTGATAATTGATCAGCTTGAGTAGTTTTTAGTAAACAGTCTGTGATTTCTGCTCCTTCAGTGTGAGTAGTTTCTGGTTTCTCTCCTCTGTGACAGCAAACTGAAGCTCTTTGCACCAAACAAGAGGAAAGTCTGATCCACATTTTTCACCATTTTCTGGTATTTCAGAGACCAAACAGCTGATCGATTCAGGATTACAAATGTTTTTTGCAGCTCAGTAAGTGAGTCCCATCAGCTGCTGCAGAGCAGGTTTGGAAACAGAAAACTGCACGTCTAGAGAAAATATTCTTGCGTTGTTGTTGTTGTTGTTGTTGTTGTTGTTGTTGTTGTTGGCGGCTGTGGCTCAGCTGGAGGAATGGGCTGTCCACCAGGGTGGGCAGTTCCAGTCCCTCCAAGTGCCCTGAGGCGAGGCACTGATCAAACTGAACAAACATTGTTTAAATGCACAAAATGAAGAGAATTTAGAAAATAATAGAAACATATCTTAATAACGTACAAGTTGTTTAGCATAGACCGGTAGTTGGGTTGTGCTCTGTTTAACCCGCCGTTGCTCTGACTGGCCTTCTGCTTCGTCTTCCTCCGTCAGAGCCCATCTGACCACAGTCCAGTGCTGGACCACCTGGAGCTCTCCGGATCCAGATCAGCTGAGTGTACCTGCTGGTCTGTGGTTTGTGTTGGCATCTGGCCTGATTAGCCGTAAACACACACGTTTCAAAAACTGGATGTTAATACACATTTTTAAAATATATATACAGACAATATACAAAATTCAAAACACATGCATGTGTGTGTTTGTCAGGTGAGTCTCTGGTCAGCATCAGGATCACAGATCCAGGTTGTAAATAACCACTGAGACACAAATATGCAGGTCAGAACCAGTCGACTGTGTTTAAAGGCAGTGTTTCTAAGCAAAGGCCTATCAGAACCGCCCCTTAGTATCAGAACCACCCCTCAGTATCAGAACCGCCCCTTAGTATCAGAACCGCCCCTTAGTATCAGAACCGCTCCTTAGTATCAGAACCACCCCTTAGTATCAGAACC